AAATCAGTGCGGTTGTGGGTAGAGAGTTGAACTTGTTGCCGACTCCTCCCTTAGTTATTGAAGTTTTTTTTATTTGTTGTCGACTACGGTATCTTGGTTACTGAAGATTTTTTGTTGAATTTGATGTCGACTCTCTTGGTTATTTAAGATTTTTTTGTTGAAATTGTTGCCGACTCCTCCCTTAGTTATTGCAGATTTTTTTTTAATTCGTTGTCGACTCTCTTAGTTATTGAAGATTTTTTTTGAATTTTTTGGCGACTCCCTTAATTAGTTATTGAATAATTTTTTTGTTGAAATTGTTGTCGACTCTCTTGGTTATTGAGGATTTTTTTGTTGAATTTGTTGTCGACTCTCATGGTTATTGAAAATTTTTTTGGTTGAAATTGTTGCCGATTTGTCCCTTACTTATTGCAGATTTTTTCAATTTGTTGTCGACTCTCTTGGTTATTGAAGAATTTTATGAATTTGTTGTCGACTCTCTTGGTTATTGAAGATTTTTTTGTTGAATTTGTTGCCGACTTTGTTGAAGATTTTGTTGAAGATTGTTTGAAGATTTGTTTGATTTCAATTTGTTGTTATTGAAGATTTTTTTTAAATTTGTTTTCGACTTTCTTAGGTATTGAAAATTTTTTATGTGGCTGTTCTTCAACTTAAAAGTTAATTGGTGCGTATTAGGTTTGTTTATTTATAGGTAATTTTTGCTGAACCTCTGTTCATTTGCGGTTGATTCAGTTAAATGAATCAGGATGTAAAAATGTCCTCTTTTCGATTGATTTTTATTGCGGGATTATTTTACTGTTGCAAATTATTATATGGGGCGGATGATATGGAGTCCTAACGTCACATCCAAAGAGTAGTGACTGCGTGTTCGGTGCTATATAGTCGCTTATATCGGCTGCGTGATATCGGCTGCGTGAGTTAATTTAGATCCGTTACTATGCACAGACATGTAAGAAAAATTCGTTCCATGCAGCTCTTCTAAATTAGGCTCAAATTTGGGACCAGACTCTAAGCGGTGATTATCTATCATCACTTTCGACGATATTCGAAGCTATTTTGCTCCTATTTGTTATTGAATTTTTCAAATATCACGAATTACCTTTAAATTTCATCACAAGCATTAAGGTCTTTCCTCATCTGATATCTAGAACGCCTGGAACATTGAGTCATCGTGAACTCTTCGTGTTCAGTTTTGGGTGTAAGCTGAATAAAAAGTGGTCGTTGCGTTCTGCGTGATCGCTTCCTTTGTGGCTACAGCCTTGACCAAACATGGCGGGGCACGGGTGGCGTCACTTGCTAGGGAAATGCATGGTTGAAAATTGGCTTAGATGCACAGTCACGGTCATCAAAACAAAAATATTTGAATATCAATTCATTCTTTCGCCATATTTTTAGATTCGTCATTATTCTATTGAAATTTCAGGCTTTATCATTTGTGCTATTTATTTAAATGAGTAAACATTATTTGAATGTTGTGCACACAGAAAATCATTGTTATGCATGGTGATGATCTTGAAGTAAGCGAATTGTATCGACTATTTAATACATTGATTTTAGAATAGAATAGAAGTGTCGGCACTGAAGAAATAGACCCATGGCCTGTTGCCGATTCTTGTGCTTTCGTGACTTGATTCACAAGGGATCCGGCCTTTGGAACCCGATCTTTCCACAATTTTTGAACTCGTACATGACTCAAAGCGAAAACGAACGGCTTTACTGGCGCTGTACGTAAAAGTAAAACTTTGAAAGGCTTAGTCCTCTTGATTTCATTTTGGAAATCAACTTGCTTCATTAACTCCCGTTTCGTTCGCAAGCACCGCGCACTCACCTGTTACTCAGCGGAGGTCTCTTTGTATGAGAAGCGCCGCGCCTAAAATTAGATCTCTTCTTTATACGGCCAACGAGCGGGTGGGGGTTGCCCGACTAGCACGCAGAGAAATGAGTGAGACTTGTCCATAACGCGAACCTTTTTAGCCCATTTTCTCATTTATGGAAAAAACGCCCCATTGTGCTCGTCATGTCCGTCCGTCCGTCCATCCGTGACTTAATGTTTTCTTCGATGAGAAAATGCGCTCTCTGTCACTCACTGCAGTGAGTACTGAGTTGTATTTTTTACCCCAGTGTGTATCATCCTTGCATCCAGCATAAAGGCGTATCTGTGCTGCTTGCACAAAGTTTGTCACTATTAGGACACTGTAACCTGGGGCCATACTTTCAAAACTCGCTAAGTGAACGTAAGTACTTACGCTCTATTTTCTTGTCTATGATTGGTGGATTTTGCTTGAAAGGCCGTCAATGATTGGCTGATGAACTTACGATCTCTTAACTTTTTTGAAAGAATGGGCCCTGCAGTTCTCTATTGCGAGTGTAGGGTATTGATGTACAGAATGTCAGCCGGGCACACGTGTTGATTATTAGAGCGTGACAGCATTGGATGTCAATTTAGCATCTCTGTTGCTCATAGAATAATTTAAATTACGAAATTCGAAGCTTTTGAATTCGAATGCAAACTTGTATTTACGAAATTCGGTCACTTGACTCGCCATAGAAACTCGTTACGGCCCTAACAAGTGTATGCATTTATTTATTGATTGCATCTCATTGAGATGGCTCGCATGAAAGTATTTTTTCCACGATAAGAGTCAAGCTTATCAGGTTTATGTGGATCATATCATATGCAAATGTCCCTATACTCTCAGAGACGTCTTGCTGCTTCTTATCTCTGTTCATGTAACCTATTGTATTTCAACCTCGCAAGGCTCGTCTGCATGCCACTCAGCAGTGCTGCGTTCGACCGCGTTGTAGTTAAGATTGCAGTGTTGTAAGGTTGCAGACTTGGATATCTTCATCCACACGGTTTTAAAGCAGTTTAAAACTGTTTTTAATCGTAAGTTGAACTTTTGTCGAAATAATTAATTACAATCCCTACCATTATTTAGGCTCCTAGCTCCAGAATTCTCGCCTGTAAAAGTTGACCCTGGTCTCATCCAAGTTCAATTTCAATTCTAAGTTCAATTTTAATTCTTAGTTAAATTCTAAGTTCAAAAGAAAAGCTTGTGTCCACTGGTCTTGACGTGTTCATTGTGCGAGAAATATTGCTAAGTATATGCAAGGACGCTGAGGGCATGATTATTGGGGCAGCAGTTAATTGTAATATCACGTCTTCTACTTCGTGTCACGTTAATTTTTAAAAATGGTATATAAGCGAGGTATGTTAAAATTGCTAAGTTTTAAAGTTAGGATCGAGGCATGTTAATATTGAACAATATACTTTTGCATGGGATGTTGATAAAGTCAATGCGGTCATATTGCGACCGTATATTAGTAGCTCATGAAGTAATGCTCGATCCTTGCAACAAAATTAAGAGAACATCAACTTTTATAGGCGCTAGGATTATTACCCTGGAAACTTGACAAATTACTGCGTGTTTTACGCGTTTCTTTAAGATGTAATTCTGTATAGCAACGAACTCACTCATTTATAGAACTACCTAGCGATAGATGGGGTAAAAATTATCTAGTTATTAAATAACTATTAAACTATTTCCTATCGATGTAATTGAAATCGTTGACCAATTTTGCCCGATATGAAGATATCCCCGCGAATTCAACTCGCTTTTTATTTGCATCTGGCATCTAAAGGCATTTTTTTAAATTAAGCAGCGTGTGTTTTAGAAAAAACACCAATGAATAAGTTAAAAATATAATAATAATGAAATATATACACTGATAAGATCTAAAAACTCTCAATAAATATACTCAGATTTGCCACTCCTAAAATTGAAATGATCTATTATGTTACCCTTTTAGCGCATTTTCTCATTTATGGAAATAATGCGCTATTGTGCTGGCCATGTCCGTCTGTCCGTCTGTCTGTCTGTCCGTCTGTCCGTGACTGTACGTTTTCGTCGACGAGAAAATGCGCTCTCTTTCACTCACTGCAGTGAGTACTGAGTTATATTTTTTTAGTTTAAAGCTGATCGAGAAAAGGTCATGCATTTAGTTAGATGATTCCTTGCATTTCCCGTTGACATGACGGCCCTTAATTACCTTGCATTTTCTAGCTGAAAGATAACAGCTGCTCCCTCGCTGTTATCGCTGATAACATGCACAGCTAATGAGATAGCGGGATGTGCAAGGTGAACTCGGCTTGATTTATGATAATATTGCATTTCACAATTATATGAGAGATTCCTCAGATTCGTGAATGACATTTCCTGTGAGCAGCTGGCATTTTTTCCCAGATTAATAAGAGGGATATGCGCTTTGTTGCCTTCATGAAAGATCAAGAAAAATGGTAAATAATTGGAAACTGGCAAAAAAAAATCCGTTCAAATGATCGAGCATGAGATTTGCGTGTAAACCCGGCTACTTTTTATACACCTGGGATAATTTAAACGTAGATTACCCTACTGAATTTTATTATGTCCTCTCATGACCGGCAATTCGGAGTATCCGGTCTGTAAATACGCTTACATTCGATGCATTATTTTATTTTCTGTATGAGTGATGTGGTTGAATATAGCATCTTGTTAATTTGCAGACGTACTTCCATAGAGACAGTTTCTCTATATTCAATGTTAGATCCTCCTCTGTAACGATGCGATGTCAGATTCAGGATTGTGCGACAAACCTGTGTGCGTTAATGAATATGTAAGCGTCGTAAAGTGAACAATACACATTATTCTTAAAGTGACGTACGAATTTACATTAAGTGTATCCGTAAAGTGACGAATAATTCTTACACGTGTTACACTTGATTCAAGAAATTTTTCCGATATCGCGAATTGAATCTTGTACAACAAACCGCTCTTGATTACTCAGGTGATCCAACAGTGTTTTTGGTGCGTTATTTCAGTAATAAGTGATCGAAATTTAATTGGAGGCTCATAATATATTATGCTTGGTCGTTGCTGGGTATGCTGTAGTGTTTGATTGCGCTTACAATTATTATTTTGGAAATGAATTAATTAATTATTCTTTCCATTTGTTACTGACAGACACGAACTGATGGAGTCTTCACTGGACGACCGGCACCGAGTAGGTGTGCCGGACGCTATCCTGCTGGAGGACTACATGAGCGAAGAGGTCTTCAGGGATAACCTCAGGAAACGATACATGAACAACCATATATACGTGAGTAACGTGATACATGAACAACCATATATACGTGAGTAACGTGATACATGAACGATACATGAACAACCATATATACGTGAGTAACGTGATACATGAACAACCATATATACGTGAGTAACGTGATACATGAACTACCATATATACATGAGTAACGTGATATACGCGAGTAACGTGATCATAGTTATCTTAATTATCTTCACTAAGTTTAGATTTGATTCTATACTGAATTCTCACATTCGACGTCGAAAGTTTGTTACTACAGCGCACCGGAGAACGTGAACGAAACGATACGGAAGATATGACAGTAGTTTGATAGCAGACATGTATTAAAATATCTTAGTGGATATAATATGTAGATTAAAGTTAGATTAAAACACCTTGCTATTGTCTAACTACTGCGACTATGCAAATGCTCCGCGCATTTTTTGTTTGATTTAACGTATTAATGTAGCCACTATGTTAGGTGTAGGTTTTGATTTGAAAAATCGCATCAGGTTTTTATTTTAAAAAATCGCATCAGGTTTTTATTTGAAAAATCGCATCAGGTTTTTATTTGAAAATGGCATCAGGTTTCGATTTGAAAAATCGCATCAGGTTTTGATTGGAAAAATCGCATCAAACTAATAAATAACCAAGATTTGAAACACCAATTCCAGTAAAGGCTTTTATGAATCCAAGTTTCAGGTTGTCACATGATGTCTATGTGTGTGCACGACTCATGCAGACCATAGCATGCGGTCATGTCTATAGATGTTGATGACTTAGCTGTTGACATGAGCTTGTTTACTTTCACGTGACCACGAGATAAACAGCGATCGCTGCTGTAAACAAGCAATGTTGCGATTTAATATCTCGATCCAAAGCAAGTGTTGTATATACGCTCTGCCTTTTAGCTATGTTGACTTGATTATAGTCAAGCAATAGCGTCTATAATAGTTCTAAATGTTAATGGTCAGTTTGCTTGTTTTTTTTTCGTACGGTGCTGATTATCGGTACCTAATGCGTACAATATTCTTACTGAATTATATTTTTTAGACCACGAATAATTTTCAATATTTTTCAACAATATTCTGGCCGTTATATTATGGTAGTCAAATTTACTGTCGCTTACGCTCTGCTCACGCCCGAAATATTATCCATAATTTATTTTGTAATCCTTCATTTATTTTGTTGTCATTGTGGTATTATGAATTAATGAACATACCAATATTTGAAGTGTCTTTATCTATGGTTGAAGTCACATGTTCGTTCATGCAGTTTAGTTTAAGCTTTTTGTTCAGTTTATCAACGGTTAATTTAAGAGACGCACACAATGCCATGTCTCATATCCGTAATTGGTGTCTGTGATGAACCGTGCTCATGTGGCCAGTAATGTACTGGTATCGTTACCACCATTGAAGAGACCGTGAACATGTTACCAGTAATGTACTCTGTTGTTCCACAGACGTACATCGGTCAGGTGCTGGTGTCGGTGAACCCTTACAAGGAGCTTGGTCTGTACACGGACGCAGTCATGGAGCAGTACAGGAGGATCAACTTCTACCAGGTCCCACCCAGCATGTCAGTAATGCTTAATTAAATCGTTATGAAATACTCCCATACTCGATAGGTTATCTTTATTGGCTTTATTATTATTGCTACACACAAAATAATGTGAGGCACGAAATAAGTTATGTAGGTAGTTGTCCTGGAATATCTGGAACATTCAGTGATCTTTTATACGATTTGGGTCATTTTCGGTACAAGTGCAATCAATTTTTTATTTTTCGTAAAAAAATAATGTTACTAACAACTTTTTTCTCATCACTTACAAGAAATGTTTCGGGGTATAATAATTTTTAGCTTTCTGGTGCGAATTACGAAATAGACAGACATCGTAATCGTTTAAATAACCGAATTAATATAATTTTCTTGTTACAAACTGTCACCAGGAAGTTTTCGTTGTTTGCAGTTTCGCCATCGCCGAGAATGCCTTCCGCTGCATGGTGGCCGAGAGCAGCGATCAGTGCATCCTTATATCGGGTGAATATTATTATTATTATTATATATGTGAATATTATTATATATTAGAGGTGAATATTATTATATTTTTTCGCAGGTCTGTGCCTCCCGCAGGCCGGTGCCTCCCGCAGGCCTGTGCCTCCCGCAGGCCTGTGCCTCCCGCAGGCCTGTGCCTCCCGCAGGCCTGTGCCTCCCACAGGCCGGTGCCTCCCGCAGGCCTGTGCCTCCCGCAGGCCTGTGCCTCCCGCAGGCCTGTGCCTCCCGCAGGCCTGTGCCTCCCGCAGGCCGGTGCCTCCCACAGGCCAGTGCCTCCCACAGGCCAGTGCCTCCCGCAGGCCAGTGCCCCCCGCAGGCCAGTGCCTCCCACAGGCCAGTGCCTCCCACAGGCCGGTGCCTCCCGCAGGCCAGTGCCTCCCACAGGCCAGTGCCTCCCGCAGCCTCCCGCAGGCCAGTGCCTCCCGCAGGCCAGTGCCTCCCGCGGCTGGTGCCTCCCGCAGGCCAGTGCTTCCCGCAGGCTGGTGCTTCCCGCAGGCCATGCCAGTTGCGGTGCGCCGCCGTAGATTTTCAAATTATTCTTTCCTAGTACATGCTCCTGTTTAATGTTTTATTTTTCACGATTGTTTAATTTATTAAGCAATTTTTCCCTTAAATGATGTCACATAACACATGCGACCCCATCGTACATGTAACCCCCAAAATACATGCAATCACATATAAATTAAAAATTGATTATATTATAACATTTGATATTAATATCGGTTATTCAGGGCATGAACACTCTGACTCGCTGCGTGTCGCGAACCTGTCGTCATGCTAGCGCTGTACGTCTGTTTCGCGTTACCTTTCACTGAACTAACGGGTTCTTGTCACGCTAATGAGAAGATATATCACGCTGATGAGACGACATCACGTTAATGAGAGGACATCACGCTAATGAGCCAGCAGTATGCTAGCGAGGGTGATTATGTATCGATAATGAGTAATCAAGCTTACATCTGAGCAGCTCGTTGGATATCCAGCTAATGAGTAAGCGTAAAGATAATGAGAGAACACGAATTAATGTGTGGTGCTAATGAGCGAGCTTGATGCTAATGAGTGTGACGCTAACGATTGAGTGTGACGCTAATGAGTGATATTGACGCTAATGAGTGAGTGTGACGCTAACGATTGAGTGTGACGCTAATGAGTGAGTGTGACGCTAATTAGTGCGTGTGACGCTAATGAATGAGTGTGACGCTAATGAGTGAGTGTGACACTAATGAGTGATATTGACGCTAATGAGTGAGTGTGACGCTAATGAGTGAGTGTGACACTAATGAGTGATATTGACGCTAATGAGTGAGTGTGACGCTAATGAGTGAGTGTGACGCTAGTGAGTGAGTGTGACGCTAATGAGTGATATTGACGCTAATGAGTGTGACGCTAATGAGTGCGTGTGACGTTAATGAATGAGAGTGACGCTAATAAGTGAGTGTGACGCTAATGAGTTGTTGTGATGACCTAATAATAATAATAATGATTGAGACTTTCTGTATGGAAGTGCAATCAAGACGCTCGGTTCAAAGGTACAATCAATTTTCCGTAAACCTGAAGAACGACATAAGTGACCGTCACTTGTAGAGAATTAGCCTGACAATATTGCTGCAATCTCATTAAAATGAGTGATAAATGAGTGGTTAACTAATTCTAAGTTCGGAAATATCACTGAAATATCAAGAAAATAAAGGATTAGATCAAGCTATTAGCCAGTTTAGATTAAATGCTGAAGTTTTAGTTAGCCTTCATTTGTCTATACATGGTTATAATATTTATTTATCTAATGACAATGTAACAGTTATCTGCTGGTCTGGTTTCTATTTAATTGCATTTAATGTTGCAAGCCGTCGCCATGCTGACGCTTAGCGCTGCTGTGCCATCAAAGACGCGCCTGTTCCCGCGACGTCTTCAATGCGTGCATCGCTTACATCACGCATGTTATGGCTGCGTGTGCATTTGTTGTGTGCACTGCATGTGCTGCGTGCACTGCATGTGCTGCGTGCACTGCATGTGCTGCGTGCACTGCATGTGCTGCGTGCACTGCATGTGCTGCGTGCACTGCATGCACGTATTTAGTCGCCCTTCCCTCGTGCCTGTGAAGGACGATGCCCTGCAAGCTGCTCAGATCCTTCAGTTCGCTGCCCTGCGATATGATGCTTAGTGCCTTCATTTACTTTGCTTTAATTTACCCTTCAATATTACTATGCTTTAATTTGCCTTGCATTACCGAAACGATTTGAATTAATATTTTTCTTTACATATTTCAGCATCTTGCGAAGTTTACTCAGCATCTAATTTATGTTTAATGAAATTTGAGTTAAAGTGATGAACTAAAATGATGTAAATTTTTTTTGCTTGTGATCCGATTGGGCCTAAGAACCATTGCGCGAACCATGCCATTGACGTCGAATTTATTCGAAAGGATTATATTGAAAGTTCTATTTGTCAAATGTAGTTGCGCTTTTGTTAACGGAACCAGAAAATTGAGAGATAAGTCTATGATCCAGGCACTGGTTATCAACTTATCCTAGTCGAGGTATTCAAAGTGTTTAATTTAATAATTGTTGACTAGTGCTGTACAACACACCTCCACTTTGTGCTGCATTGCTCGGCGTGTGTCTTTGTGCGTTTTTTTGCATGTTGCGCACGGTGTATGCTGTTATGCTTCTTCATAACACATCACAATCTGCGCATGACATCACTAGTTGTGTTGCGACAGTAGAGTTGAGTTGCGACTTGTTGAGTCTAGTTGTGTTGCACAGCACTATATATAGTTGTGTTGCACAGCATCTATAGCGTATCTGCGTCATTGGTGTTGAATGTATGGTATTGTGCGCGACTGCGCCTTGTTTATACCCCCAATTTATCCCCCCATTGTAAAGCACATCACTGCACCCTGATGTGCACTGCAGCGCCGAGCCCAGCCCATGGAAAACCTCACCTTTGAACCTTTAATCTGGCGCATCCCACCTAGGCTGCGCGGGAAGGGGGCGCTGTGAGGCGGCAAGGGGGGTGGGTCGATGTTATGGCAAGGTTTTTTTATGTTTAACTAAAATGTTGGGATGGTGCATGGCCGATGTGGTGGTAAGGTTTTTATGTTTAACTAAAATGTTAGGATGGTTGCGAGAATGTTGGTACTCGCACTATGTGATAGTTGGGGTCATCATTTATGTGTAGCAACTTCTTATGGATGTCTAACGCGTGTTAGTTTGCACAGATGTTTTATGCTAACGAACTTCAAACGATGTGTAAACTTTCAGACGTCCTGTGTTTTGGGTGAAAATAAAATCTTTCAACTGTAATGTTGCGAAGATTATTATGAATTACTTTGACATATTTTTCAAGGTGTCCTCATCGACTAAATCCGAAACTATATTTTTTTCACGGGTAGAAATCGTCCAAAATGCTGATTATCGAGCGAGCAATCACTAATTGCGAAATCAACGCAAAAACCCCTACGTAAAGATCTGAAATATTTCGCCACGGGTTTCAGAGGAATTTCCCTCAATTGACATGCATTCCGAGATCAAGGTTTAAGTATTCTAGCAATTCTTCTGTTAATGTTTAATGATTCGCATTATTGGTATGGTTAATATACGACACTGCGGTGACACCTATACCCACTGAGTGTAAATGCATGTCCCTAATTTCGCGTAACTTATTTCTTTCGAATCCCCATCGTAGTTTGCGTATATGATGGGGATTTGTGATGAATTAATTACGATGTCGTAATATAGTGATGCGTAAGAGTTGACGCTGTGCAACTGCAAGCTGCTTGATTGACTCGCCCCTGACCGATAGTTTATCGCAATAGATGGAATCTTATCTTGTTTTGAACAGACAATGCGCTACCATTGCTTATGGGTGGCCTTGAAATATACATCGTATCGTATATTCTCGTATGTTGATATAACTCTTAGAATGAAATTTCTGTAAAATAATACGAACTTATAGGTATAAAAGAATAGTTTGAACCTTATTCATCATGTATGTTGTCTGAAGCCAACGAACGACGTTAGATCAACGTAATTGTGTATGGATTAATCACTGTAATATTACGAGACCTGCGCATTTTATAGGGAATATTTTGCTAGTTGCTATTGAGCTTTTGAACAGCGATGGTCAAACGCAACATGATCATGTTGACAGATCATCGATGGTCACACTCAAAACGACCATGTTGATGCATCCTCGATGGTCACACGCAACATGATAATGTTGACCACACCTCAGTGTGCTGGATTGTGTCGTGATGGCTTGTTTAATTTAAATCGTTCATGCGTTTTCCTTCACCCTCCCCCATGACGTTTCTCTTGTCCACGCTCAACGAAAGAGACGGAAAGACGAGTTTCCGTCTTTCTTCTTCGTAGGAAAGTAAATGCGTAATAGTATCATAAAATTAACTGCTTTGAAATAGTTGGTGAACCACTGTAACAAGATACGGTACTGCTTTATTATTTCAATCCATTTATTTCAATCCAAGTTATTCAATAGTCGTGTCTTTAATTTATTTGTTTATTGTTTTATCCTATTGTTACATACACACGTCAGCTGCAGACGCGTCTATTCCTGGTGACCTCGATCGGTATAGGATGGCCAAGTGATCCTTTGCTATTATCCTCTAGTTCATTGTTTCCCATTTGAATTAACGAGCATGACCGTGACACTGACACAGAGGAAACTACCAACGTTAAGAAGTGCGGATCAGACGATGGCTAGCTATCATGAAGAGCCGTTACATTTCGCGTGATTAAAACCAGAATTACTTCTACCATTCCTTGATTTGTTCTAACAGTGGTATACTTTATCGTCTCTGAACACAACGCATCTGAAAAAGCTGAAATGCGTTGCATGCAAGAGGTTACATATGAAAATTACCTTTCGCACTTTATTCGATTTTTGTAAGCTTTTCTATTGATGATTTTGATTTATGAAATTTGAGCTGTTTCTTTGAAAGATTTCAGAAGCACTTGTCTCTCGTAACCAAAAGACGATGTTTGAAAATTATTCTCTTCACATTTAGCGCACCGACTATATCTACAATATTAATCTTCCTTGCACCCTCACATATTTTATAATAATTGCTTTTTTTTGCAATTGATTTTGATGAGCCCCAAACATGACTAAATACTGAGAACTAAATACTGAGAACTGCTCCTGCTATTCACCACCGACCTCGCAACAGGGGAAACTTGAACAAACGAAGGTTGAGGTCATCTTCGTTTCGTGCAGCGCCTAAATAGATCATAACTTTGTTTAAGGTTCACATCGTGTGAGTTTGTTTCAGTGCCAAGGTTAGCTGCAGCTGAGACGGTGGTTAACTTTAACATAAACGAACTTTGTATAGTGCATGTTGTTGCCATCGAAAGGTTAAGAGACCGCTCTGCATCAGATCCCGAGCTGCTCTTTGAATTGATCTCGGGGTTTTTTGTTGGCGAGGGCGTTGGCGTTAAGCTCTTTGATGTCTCGCTTTCTTGTTCTTTTTCTTTTATTCCAACCTTAACTGTAATGGAATGCATGGAGGGCTGCTGTGACATTTCACGACAGTATAGATCTCAGTCTGGGCCGTACACCTTTTAGTTTTCCTTGCTGTGCAATAAACTAAACAAGAACAACGAAATTAATGGAATAGAATCGATCCTAATCGTGCTAATGTTAATTAGCATCAGAGATTGAATTTGACTGAAATTCAACTTCAAAATAATGGAAGCGAACAGTAATGAATATCAGTTCTATTTGCATCCGCTTGTAATGCATAGTGTTTCTACACAGATCGAACTTTAAATCCCACGCTTTATTTTTGTGCCCAGAGTTTTTCATATTGGTGTCATCATGCACCGTTTGTATGTTCATATTGTGCGCATCTGCGTGTCATAAATTACATTAAATTACGTTAATTTTTTGACAGGAATAGAAAATGGGATGTCTCAGAAGATGTCATGCATATGCTCACGAAAATGGGGCTCTAATGGCACGCCTGAATACATAAACCACATCTTCTGATTAATTTCCTCACCATTTCTGCTCAAGGGAAAGAGGTGCTCAAATTGCACGCCTGTATATATACCACATATTCTGATTAATTTCCTCGATATTTCTGCTCAGGAGAGACTGGCTCAAATGGCACGCCTGAATACATACCACATCATCTGATTAATTTCCTCACCATTTCTGCTCACGAAAGCGGGTCTCAAATGGCATGCCGTATACATACCACATATTCTGATCAATTTCCTCGATATTTCTCGTCAGGGGAGAGCGGTGCTGGCAAGACTGAGGCGAGCAAGCAAATTCTGCGGTACGTGGCGGCGGCGACGTTGCACCAGCACGACATCGACCTGGTCAGGGACAGACTCCTGAAGAGCAACCCTGTGCTCGAGGCCTTCGGCAACGCCAAGACAAACCGCAATGACAACTCCTCCAGATTCGGCAAATACATGGACATCGAGTTCAACTTTAAGGTAAAGGATATTGCTTTTTCTTTGATTCACAATAAAGAGGATGTGGGACAATCTATTACAGATAATTTTTGTTAAATCAGAAAGACGGTTAGGTAAATGATATTGACTCATATAATTTTGGCCATCTTGCGCAACTGTGGAGTAAAAGTATGACGCAATTATTTTGGATTTTATTTTATTCTATGAGTATTTGTTTGCAATGCCCTTGAGCAAATTTTATTGAATGAAGACAAAGACATCAAAGGGGCGTCATAGTTCAGTGCCTTCATTAATGAAAGTTTGGCGGCATTCATCCACGAATTGCGGAGCTGAAATTATGGATCCAGAAATGCAATCCCCCGAAAGTGTATTTCCAAGTTGAAATTATATTTAGACAGATCAGTGATGGTCATCATCTGAACATTACTGTGCATCTATATGTCAAAATATATTAACAATATATTGTTTTTACAAGGTTTCAATGAGTATTGTACTAAATTTCAACACTATCGTCTCTTCGGTGTACATGCTTTTACGCAGCTGTTGAGCGTAGTGTATTGTTGGATGATGTTGTCCTGAACTCTCGTCTATTAAGTACATCGCATAGCTTGCCTATTATGTACAGGAACGTCTCGCATGTCTTGCGTCACGCCTAAGAGGAAACGTCTTATCTCTTCCCGGCATCTTGTTCTCATGACGTATTACCAATTCTTTTGAGTTCTGCATCCTTATAATTAGATCGGTTACGTGTGAAAATTGCAGATCTCTAAACTAGTTGTAACTCAATAATTGTGCTTCATTTCTAGAGATATTTGCAATTCATTACTCTTAAAACAAATAGGTTTTCTTTAATTTGTAGTGTGTAATAGAATTTCTGATCGAGCTGTGAGAATTCGACTTACTAGAATAAAATTTCAATGTTCCTATTTCTTTTATGAAATTCGTAGCGCTTCAGAAAAATACTCACGACTTTGCCCGGCCTTGCTTTGAATCGAATTAGCGTTACTGGAAACCACTCGAGTTCGTTGCTACATCAGAGCGCTAAAAATTTTGCTTGCTCTCAGTTCTCGTAAAGGTTCACGTAAAATAGAAATTAACTGCAGTATCTTCAGCCTTGTTGCAGTGTTTCCTCCTTTACCATTATTGGATTATGAATTATTCTATATGAAGTACCATTCCCTTATGGACGAGCAATGTATCCTGTGTAAATTGTATGACGTTGAATTGGATTAACTGGATTAACTTAATTGTTTTCTTTTGTTTTAGAATTTAGAAGTTAATTATACTGTCCTAACTTTCATCACATGGTTAATAACTAATCGTTAGATTTTTCTACTATATTTTTTAGGTTCATTAATCTCGAACTGATGTTGCAAAGACGAATTTACTCATGCCGCCTAATTTCTAATTATTTCCCGGAAAGAAATTTGTTAATTATTCTTCAGCCTATACCATCCCCGTACTAAATTTAATTAAAATCTAGTCCTCGTTGTTCATAGGCTGCTAACTTGATTGGATTTGACTCAGGAGCTCTGGAAGAAATGGGTTAAAAAAAGCAGATATTGTAGGCTTTTCTTGTGGATCTTTTTACTAGCAGTTCTTGAGAGTACGTGCGCTGAGATGATGTCGAGGGCTGCATTTGAGGAAATAAGATTTCGTTACTCAGACCGTGACCTCGACCAGTGGGATAAACGGCCGCGCCATGACACTGCAACTCTTGCGCATTAATTGATAACTATTTTTATTTGGCCAGTCTCAGTCAGGAGTGGTAAGAGCACCGTGAATCTCTCAATCTCAAATTCCTCGGTTGAATTAAAAATTTTTTTTTTCAACTGAATACCGTTCGATTGCCATGACTTCCTTGCTTGCGAATAATAGAAGGTTTAATTAGACATGAAGCAATCATCGGCCTATAAATAAGCTGTGTTAATATTCTTGTTAGAGTGTTTCTTATACGTGTCTATAGTTGGGGTGATTCTAACACCTTGGGCGGTTTTAAGACCATGGTCCTTGCTTCCACCTTATAATAAAAATGTGATCGTCTTTCATGTAAAAATCCATACTTGATAACTGTTTCTGTATATGATTCAAAATTTATCCTTTCCCAAGCGGTCCGTTGGTTCTTATAAAGGCTTTCCCTCCCACAGCAACATGTTAGGGTATTCGCTTTGTTAGTTAGAAAAACGTTCAAGATATCTCAACGGAAGTGATGTCGTTGTGGTTTAGCATGAGATTTTCAATTGTGGTATAATATGCGGTGCTTGGAGGTCTGAATTGATCAAATTTTCCATTTCGTCGTTTCGAATTTCTTTACATTTTTAATGCATTTTTTCATTTAGTTGCTAATTCTTGGGCGCTTGCATTTTTATGAACAAAATTAATTGAGTTCAGCGTATTTACGGGCTATTGCTACATCTAAATTCTATGTCCTTCGATTTTTTATCCCCGGCCTCGGTCACTTCCTGTGGGACGTACGTGATGCCTCGTTTCGGCGCCCATGTGTGGCTTTTTTGCTGCAGCAGATGTGCTGATCGTGGGGCGAGTCTGGGGCGATACGCGCGTGTCCTGTCAGGGCAGGGCGTCTCAGGAGCCTCTGACCTCAGGTCACCTGGCTTCCCTTGACGTCAACTTGTCTTGTTCTCAGTTTAAAGAAAATCGTTGGTTTTGAGTACCTCGCGTTGGAATCGTAGTTAAAAAGAATATGATTTTACTGATTATAGGGCTTGCTTGAATTTCTTCCTCTGGGTGCCGTGTTATAATTGCCACTGAAGATAGCACACGAACTGTTGAGTACGACAGTGTGATGGTTAGTATGACAGAGGGATGTTCAGTACGATACGTTTAGTATTTTACCCATTTATTTTCTTGAATTTTTAAGGATATTATGGCCGCAATGCATAATCGTTTGAGCTCGAAAAATCCCTCATTATGAGGTGTCTGAGGTTCAAGTTTTGGAAACGTTTATGAATTAGAACTAAAATATTTTTATTTTAAAACCGGGCTGCGAAATAGATCCATGAATATTCAGCAGTTTATTAGCCTCGGGCCATATCGTTCTAACAGCAACTAGAGTAAAAACCCCGTAATCCAATTTCGCTCATCAGCAACTTGGTTTGATACGAGTCGATAACTTGTAATAAATTTTCAGAGAAGTAGAAAGAAAGGAAGAGAGAAATGGAGAGAGAGAGAGAGAAAGGAATGTTTACATAGAAGCCTGACCTGGTCGACGATGTTTGGAATCAACTAAGCGTCTCTAGTTATAGGTACAACAGTAATTTGCTGTCGACTTTTATGAATTTCGCTCGAATTTGTTTCTCTTTCAGCTTTACTTTTTAATAGAATGAAATTGCCAAAATAAAACATGAGTTAGCGATGAGTTAGCGGTGCCAAAAGACATACATGCACTGTATTGCATACACGCATACGTGCCTTGCCCCACGTTAGTGCTGCATGGCCACGAGCTTTTTAGACCCCATACTTGCCTACGTGCCTTCCCTCGTGCCCGTGCTTGTATGTCACTACCGCATGCACGCTTCGTATGACCACAAAAACAAACGATCGAGACCTCTGACATTTTAGTGGCACCAAGCTTATGTGGCGAATGGGACAGTTGCAAGAAATGAAGGAACTTTAAACTCAGGGTGTTAGTTCAACTTAAGAAACACACGTGAGTGCTTGTAATTAACCTTACACCTACTAGACGCCCGAAGAAAGTGAAAGGAATGAAAGTTCACATCGCCTGCTCTTCCAATTTGGCATTTCGTGCGCCGGGATTCGGGCAAAATAGAAAGTTGTTGCCAAGCTCGATTTAGTTCCATACCAACGGTGCCGCAATCAAATGCTATTAATAATTTTACTTGCTCAGTTCGAACAAGTATTTTTATTCCTTTGAGTAAGTTTTGACTGAATTAAAGTAATTGAATTGCTGTGTGATGAATGTAGTTACATAAAGTCGTTAGTTCAGGTCACGTGGCCCAGCTTGTGTTAAATCGCTCGACATAGCATTGGCGATATGCATGCACCTCAAGAGCTTAATAGTTGATGTAATTCGCAATATTCATGTTTCGTCGTGCAATAAAACCTGCTCAGCAGCTCTGGCGATGTGAACAGACCGAGATGTACAATAATTATTACAAATCATACTAACCATTACCAATTACACCAATTGTTACCAATTACACAAATTATTAACAATTACACCAATTGTTACCAATTACACCAATTATTAACAATTACACCAATTGTTACCAATTACACCAATTATTAACAATTACATCATTTATTACCAATTAACATTAGACCAGCTTGTAATGCTCAGCATTGAAAGACTTAATTTTAGGTCGTGTCATGCTCGACCTAATTCATGCTCGGTCGAGTCATGTATGATTTACTCATGATCTTTGCGACCTATAAGCATTTTATGACAGATTGTTTGCCTACGAAAAGTTGTTTATTTTTTGTACAGCTGGTTCCTGGGAGATTAGCTGAAATTGTAGTATTTTATTCGTACTTAACATTCCTGTCTCGTGAATAACAATTACATCATAACAATTAATAGCTGATGATATAATCACAACGTTATTCAAATGATAAAGTTCGTTCGCTCCAGCAAAATGCCTAAAATTCGTTTAAAAATGGCCTTCCTGCTGCACTGCTGCAAGTATCGTTAGAATTGTCCCGGCATTTTATTAGAAAGGCTGTTTATTAGGCATTCGCAGAATTAATACAGGAAATAAATTACCTGTGTTTCACCATTAATATTCGTATCGACTTGAGTGTGGAATAATGAAATTAAATATCCCGAATAATGGAATTATAATGAAATAAGAAATCATCCCGAAAAATGGAATTATAAAGATATTATAACATATCCCGAATAATGGAATTATAATGAACTAAAAAATTATCCCGTATATCGAAATTATAACGAAATAAGAAATTATCCTTAACATTGAACACTGGAATAAGTTATCTGTTGAGGCATTAGCTGGGCCAGAGGGCGCGCTGCATTATATTATTCG